CTGCAGCCTTCGCCTCCGAGGTTCCCGCAATTCTCCTGCCTCAGCCTCCCGAGTAGCTAGGATTACAGGTGCCCATCACTATACCCAGCTAGTTTTTTGTATTTTTAGTACAGACAGGGTTTTACTATGTTGGCCAGGTTGGTTTCGAACTCCTGACCTTGTGATCTGCCCATCTTGGCCTCCCAAAGTGCTGGCGTGAGCCACCGCACCTGGCCTAGAAACCAAACTTACCTTTGTTCTAGTTTTTTAATATTGCCGACCCTATGCCTTTATTCTATCTCCTTTTAGTTTGCTGCTTTTAAACACCTATGAAATGGACCAGAAAACTTAATCTTGTCTATTAAATAAGAATAATTATACTCAATATATTAGGACTCCAGGATAAAGTTATTTCCAGAAGTTCTGAATGAATCTTTCAAACTTTTCATTTATTTCTGGTTTAGACAGTGCTTAGAAGATCCATCTCTCAGAGATGTGCTATATAAACTGTAGATAATCAGTTGGTTTTAGCCTATCTTGATTGTAATATACCTCAAGGAGAAACTATTGTAAAGTAGAAGTACTGAGACATTATGTTTTTTTTGTTTTTGAATTTTGTTTTTGAGATGGAGTTTTGCTCTTTTTTGCCCAAACTGGAGTGCAATGATGCGATCTTGGCTCACTGCAACCTCTGCCTCCCGGGTTCAAGCAATTCTCCTGCCTCAGCCTCCCAAGTAGCTGGAATTACAGGTGCCCACCATCATGCCTGGCTAATTTTTTATTTTTAGTAGAGACAGGGTTTCACCGAGTTGGCCAGGCTGGTCTTTAACTCCTGGCCTCAGATGATCTGCCCACCTCGGCCTCCCAAAGTGCTGGGATTACAGGCGTGAGCCACCATGCCTGGCCCAACCCTGTCTCTTAAAAAAAAAAAAAAAAAAAGAAAGAAAAGAAAATTAATTCCTACCAAAAAATAAACAAAGAGATTAAACCAATGGTTACGTGGGATATTTGGATTCTCTATAGTCTCATAGTACAGTCAGGGAGCTACTAAATCTATGGATTGATTGATGCTGTTGAAAGGTTAATTGATCCATAAATGGAATTGTGTTTTCACTTTAGCATATAGAAATGAGGCTGAATTGAAATAATTATAGCCTACTTTGAATTTATTGATCAATGATACTATAATATGCTTGCATTAAAACATTTGTTTGAAAGTATTATGCCTGAACATTTTTGGAAGAGAAATAGTATATGAGTAACACTTGCAAGCAGCAGAGGGGTAGTTTCTGCAGAATTAACATTATGGAGCACCCTGGAAATCAACATATGCAGCATAACATGGAAGATATACTTCCAAGTACAGCATAGCATACGATGTTATATATACTAATAGTTTTGTTTTTCTAATTCCACAACGAACACAAAAATGCTTTGTTGTTGTAATACATTTAAATAGTGCGGAAATACATAAAGAAAGGATCCCATTTTTTAAAAAAAGAAAGTATTATTCCAAAAACAAAGCTTAAAATGACTATTTTCTGTTGATCTAGGTTTAATGGACAAATCAAGCACCATTTACTCAAATTCAGCAGAGTCATTTCTTCCTGGAATTTGCAAAGAATTGATTGGTTCTTCATTAGATTTTCTTGGACAGAGTTATGATGAAGAAAGAACTATAGCAGACAGCCTAATGAATAGTTTTCTTAAAATTTATAATGGGCTATTTGCCATTTCCAAGGCTCATGAAGAACAAGATGAAGAAAGTCAAGATAACTGTAAGCAATCCCACTGCTTTTCTTTTTTTTTTTTTTTTTTTTGAGACTGAGTCTGGCTCTGTGGCCCAGGCTGGAGTGCAGTAGCCGGATCTCAGCTCACTGCAAGCTCCGCCTCCCGGGTTTACGCCATTCTCCTGCCTCAGCCTCCGGAGTAGCTGGGACCACAGGCGCCCGCCACCTCGCCCGGCTAGTTTTTTTTTTTGTATTTTTTAGTAGAGACGGGGTTTCACCATGTTAGCCAGGATGGTCTCGATCTCCTGACCTTGTGATCCGCCTGTCTCAGCCTCCCAAAGTGCTGGGATTACAGGCTTGAGCCACCGCGCCCGGCCCACTGCTTTTCTTAACTCACATAAATGATTATTTTCTGCACATTGCACTTTGTTTTGAATGATTATTTGGCACATCTGGCATGCATCTTTTAACTGTGTTAAATGTTTTAATGATGATCATATATGAGTTATTTTATTTGGATATTATTTCTTCCAGTAATTTTTCTTCTTCTTTCAAAGTGTTTTCTTCTGATCGAGCAATCCAGTCACTTACCATTCAGACTGCATGTGCTTTTGAGCAGCTAGTAGTGCTAATGAAACACTGGCTGAGTGATATACTGCCTTGTACCACCAACATAGCAAGACTTGAGGATGAATTGAGACAAGAAGTTAAAAAACTGGGAGGCTACTTACAGTTATTTTTGCAGGTAAATTGATTTGCTTATTATCATTTGAAGGATTCATTTAATAATTATTTATTGACTTTCTACTGTCTGTATCTTCCCCAATATTAGCTCTGTATGATTTTCAAAAGTACGTTCTGTTTTGAAGTCCTGAGACTGTGGATGTCTGTAATTGATTAATGGAACAAAGACTTACATGGCTCTCTATGTATGAGTAGTTCTAAGTGATTTACAAATATTAACTCATTTAATCCTTATAACAACCCCAGCAGTGGGCACTGTTGTTGTCACCGTCTTGTAGATGAGGAAATGGAGGCACAGGGAAAATAAATATACCTATACCAATGTTACCTAACTAGTAAATGACTGAGTTGGATTTGGATCCAGGCAGTCTCGGGCCCAGTTCATGCTCTACCATTATACCATGCTGGCCCTCAATAAGGGATACTGGGAAGAGAGACGGAGTCCTGCTCAGGGTATAGGATTGGGTTTCAACTCAGACTCAGTTGACCATAATCCTGCTGACTCAGAGACAAGGAAATAATTTTGTTTTCCTGCTTATCTTGTGTCAGATAAGATTAGGTTTGGCTGTAAGAAGAAGTAAGATGAAAGCTTATTGTCTCTCACATAAAATCTAGATGTAGACATAGTGGCTGTGATCCACAGAGTCCTCAGGATCCAGGCTCCTCCCAGTGGTCCCCTCCGCCATGCCCAAAGTGTAGCCCCTGATTTCATGACCCGCCATGGAGGAGCCCCATCTGAGCTCAGCAGAGCAGGGTAGAAGGAGTGGTGAGAAGGATAGGGCGAAGTTTGCCTTCTTTTTTGTTTTTTTTGAGATAGAGTCTCACTCTTGTCACCCAGGTTGCAGTGCAGTGACGCGATCTCGGCTCACTGCAACCTCCGCTCCCGGGTTCAAGCGATTCTTCTGCCTCAGCCTCTCAAGTAGCTGGGATTACAAGTACCCACCACCATGCTCGGCTAATTTTTGTATTTTTAGTAGAGATGAGGTTTCACCATGTTGGCCAGACTAGTCTCGAACTCCTGACCTCAGGTAATCTGCTCCCCTCAGCCTCCCAAAGTGCTGAGATTACAGGTGTGAGCCACCATGCCTGGCTGAAGTTTGCCTTCTTTTAAGGGAGGTTTCTGGAAATCACCATATGACACATCTATTTATATATCTTTGGCTAGAATTTTATCATTTGACTACATCTAGCTGCAAGTATCATGAGGAAATTTATTTTTTAAAACAATCCTGGACACCTATATGCCAAGCCAAAAATCAAGGGATCTATGGAAGAAGTGGAAAATTGATATTGGAGAATACTTAGTCATCTACCAGATTAACAAATTCCTTCATAAAAATTCATTGAATGTACAAAAGGAGCAGATAAGGAAATAATGGTCGAGTACAGTGGCTCATGCCTGTAATCCTAGGACTTTGGGAGGATCAGTTAAGCCTAGGAGTTTGAGAGGAGCCTGGGCAACATAGCGAATAATAACAAGTATCCAACTTGTTAGATACTTTGTCTCTAAAAAAATTTAAAAAATCAGCCAGCTGTGGTGGCATGTATCTGTGTTCCCAGCTACTTGGGAGGCTGAGGTGGGAAGATTGCTTGAGCCCAGGAGTTCGAGGCTACAGTGAGCCATGACTGCACCACTGCACTCCAGCCTGGATGACAGAGTGAGACCATGTCTCAATAATAATAACAAAAAATAAACAATTTTAAAGAAAATACTAAGAGGGTTAGATTTCACTTTTAAAAAAGGATAATTAGACCGTGTAATAAATGTTCTAGAACACTTGAACAAATTTTATGTTATAGTGCCCATCAAAAGACTTTCCACATTCTATTATTGCGGTAGAATTTTTGTTGTGTCAAATACTTCCTGAATGGGCCGTTTACTAGCTGGGATTTGGAAATCTTTAACTGATCTAACTAGTAAACTTGAAATCAGATGATTGTTTTTAATGTCCGTTGTTCTCCCTCAGGAGGATTTTCTGGGTCTCCCCAAGACTTGGTTAGGCACCTGTCTTATTTGCTTCTCTAGTAACCCTGAACTTCACCTGTTATGACTTTTAATATAACATACTATTTATAAATCTGTACATCTCAATGGACAGTTAGCTCTGAGAAGGTAGAGGACAGTGGGTGTCCTTTTTCACAAGGCCCCATTATGTGATAGATGTTCAGTTGGATACTTGTTATTGAATGAATTATAAATTCATATGAGATGAAGGATGACTTTGGACATAGGTAATGAGGAAATAGATGACTAAGACGAAGGGTGGGGTTGGTGGTGGACTGCAAACAGGTGTGGATGAAGTAGTAGATGAAGAAGAATTTCTGACAGCCTAGAACTATGAAAATGAAAGATAGGACTGGCCAGAGAGCAAAGCTAGAGAGCCAGAAGGGAAGGGTCTGACTTAAGTTTGAGCCTAGGAAAGGAAGCTTGTTGAAGGATGGTCAGTGCTTAGCTGGCTCTCAGATTTTGAGGCAGTACTAGAATAGTGGGAGAACACACGAAACAAAAACTCACTACTGGCACTTGAAAAACTGATGTTTGGCTCTTTCCCTTCGGCGCACCGCTGAAGATCCTGGTGTTGCCACGGGCCGCTGCCCTGCCCGTTGTTACCGGTATTGTAAGAACAAGCCGTACCCAAAGTCTCGCTTCTGCCGAGGTGTCCCTGATGCCAAGATTGGCATCTTTGACCTGGGGCGGAAGAAGGCAAAAGTGGATGAGTTTCCGCTCTGTGGCCACATGGTATCAGATGAATATGAGCAGCTGTCCTCTGAAGCCCTGGAGGCTGCCGGAATTTGTGCCAATAAGTACATGGTAAAAAGTTGTGGCAAGGATGGCTTCCATATCTGGGTGCGGCTCCACCCCTTCCACGTCATCCGCATCAACAAGATGTTGTCCTGTGCTGGGGCTGACAGGCTCCAAACAGTCATGCGAGGTGCTTTTGGAAAGCCCCAGGGCACTGTGGCCAGGGTTCACATTGGCCAAGTTATCATGTCCATCCGCACCAAGCTGCAGAACAAGGAGCATGTGATGGAGGCCCTGCACAGGGCCAAGTTCAGGTTTCCTGGCCGCCAGAAGATCCACATCTCAAAGAAGTGGGGCTTCACCAAGTTCAATGCTGATGAATTTGAAGACATGGTGGCTGAAAAGTGGCTCATCCCAGATGGCTGTGGGGTCAAGTACATCCCCAATCATGGTCCTCTGGACAAATGGCGGGCCCTGCACTCATGAGGGCTTCCAATATGCTGCCCCCTTCTTAATACTCACCAATAAATTCTACTTCCTGTCCAAAAAAAAAAAAAAGAAAAACCGATGTTTGAACGCATGCTAAATTAGTTGTGCCTCCTTGGGCAAACTGCTTAAATTTTTGAGTCTCCTGTTTCTCACAGGAAAATAAAACTGGAAATGCCTACTTGGCAGGACTGCTGTGAGGATCAGATGAATTAATGTTACAAGAATGTCTCTCGGCTGGGCGCGGTGGTCAAGCCTGTAATCCCAGCACTTTGGGAGGCCGAGACGGGCGGATCACGAGGTCGGGAGATCGAGACCATCCTGGCTAACACGGTGAAACCCCGTCTCTACTAACAAATACAAAAAAAAACTAGCTGGGCGAGGTGGCGGGCGCCTGTAGTCCCAGCTACTCGGGAGGCTGAGGTGAGGCAGGAGAATGGCGTAAACCCGGGAGGTGGAGCTTGCAGTGAGCTGAGATCCGGCCACTGCACTCCAGCCTGGGAGACAGAGCCAGACTCCGTCCCAAAAAAAAAAAAAAAAAAAAAGAATGTCTCTCTTAGGGTAACTGGTATGTAGTATCTTTCCTTCTTTTCGTTTTCTGAGAACACCACTTTGAACTGAACTGTGGGTTTCAACTCATAGCCCTGTGGGAAATCTTACACAAGGAATCAAGGATGGAGAGACCAGGTGACTTGGAGGGGAAGTTAGATTAAGCTCCGGAGAGACTTGTGTTAAGCTAGCAAACCTGAATTTAGTGACTATTCTTTCTACTAAGTATAGTTTGAGAATCCTTTTCTTGTAGCAATACAATTAGCATATTCCACAAAGCAGGCCAAGAGAAGTATTTTGAAGAGACACTACAGGGGGCAGGTAACAGAAAGAAGAAAAGCTCAAGAGAAGCTTCCTTATTCCTTTTTTGTATGTGTTCTCTGAGTGTATGTGGGAAGTCTTTTGTTTGAAGAGGTTTGGGTTTTTTTTCACCCCTTTTGCTTCCCCTTCCTCTCCCTCTCGATTTCTTTTCTCCTGAGAAAATCATATCTTTATTAACTGTCAGATGGTTATCAGAACAGGAAAAGTTCAGAGGCAAAAGAGCCACCCTTCTTTTTCTTTCTTTTGGCTTTTACTTATTAATTCTGCCTTATATTTAGTTAATTTTATACTTACCTTATGTCTCCTATTAGTGTGTATGGTCTTTGAGGGTGGAGACTGTCTTGCTCATTTTATCACCTTTAGTAGCCACAGGGCTGCATGTTTTCTGGTTCTGAGACATTTATGAAGTGAGATCACTATATCAATAAATGCAGAATTTATTTTCTCCAGATGATTTTTCTTTTTTTTTTTTTCTTTTTTGAAAATCAGCGAGACAGAGTCTCGCTCTGTCACCCAGGCTGGAGTGCAGTGGTGCGATCTTGGCTCACTGCAATCTCCGCCTCCCAGGTTCAAGTAATTCTCCTGCCTCAGCCTCCTGAGTAGCTGGGATTACAGGCACCCGCCACCATGCCCGGCTAATTTTTGTATTTTTAGTAGAGGTGGGATTTCACCATATTGGCCAGGCTGGTCTCAAACTCCTGATCTTGTGATCTGCCTGCCTTGGCCTCCCAAAGTGCTGGGATTACAGGCGTGAGCCACCATGCCCGGCACATTTTTCTTTCCTTTTTTTTTTTTTTTTTTTTTTAAGGTGGAGTCTTACTCTATCGCCCTGGCTGGAGTGCAGTGACACAATCTCAGCTTACTGCAACCTCTGCCTCCTGGGTTCAAGCAATTCTCATGTCTCAGCCTACTGAGTAGCTAGGATTACAGGCGTGTGCTACTATGCTTGGCTAATTTTTGTATTTTTAGTAGAGAAAGGGTTTTACTATGTTGGCCAGGCTGATCTTGAACTCTTGACCTCAGGTGATCCACCCGCCTCAGCCTCCCAAAGTGCTGGAATTACAGGCTTGAGCCACTGTACCCGGCCCTTATCTTTTCTTTACCACCTGTTATAATCTCATGTATCTGATACACTTGTCCATTTTTATCTTACAGGGATGCTGTTCGGATATTTCATCAATGATAAAAGAGGCTCAAAAGAATGCAATCCAAATTGTACAACAAGCTGTAAAGTATGTGGGGCAGTTAGCAGTTCTGAAAGGGAGCAAGCTACATTTTCTAGAAAATGGTAACAATAAAGCTGCCAGTGTCCAGGTAATTTAACAATGTTAGTTTAGACAGACTTCATCAGAGGGAACATTAGACTTTTGATAATAGTGTAGTACTAAACAAGGCAAGTTCTTTTTAAGTTTTCAGAATAGCTTGCACTTTTAGTAGTTTTGCAATAAGATTTAAAACTGTTTGGGCCGGGCATGGTGGCTCATGCCTGTAATCCCAGCACTTTGGGAGGCCGAGGCAGATGGATCATTTGAGGTCAGGAGTTCGAGATCAGCTTGGCCAATACGTGAAACCCCCATCTCTACTAAAAATACAAAAATTAGGCAGTCATGGTGGCCCATGCCTGTAATCCCAGCTACTCAGGAGGCTGAGGCAGGAGAATCGCTTGAACCCAGGAGGCAGAGGTTGCAGTGAGCTGAGATTGCGCCAGTGCACTCCAGCCTGGGTGACAGAGTAAGACTCCATCTAAAAAAAAACCAACCAAACCAAACAAACAAAAAAAAACCTTTTAAATATATTGGATTATTTTGCAAACCTTATTTTACCTTTCGGATCCTTAATTTGATGCTATCTACTGTGGAGTGTTTTCTCAGCCAATCAACACATGAAAAACCCTATAATACCAGAAAATTTGCATCTGCTTACTTTCACTATTTATGCTATTGAAAATATTGTATTAGAATGTTGCTGTGCTCTGGCCAGGCGCGTCGGCTCACACCTGTACTCCCAACACTTTGGGAGGCCAAGGCTGGTGGATCACCTGAGGTCAGCAGTTCAAGACCAGCTTGGCCAACATGGCAAAATCCCGTCTCTACTAAAAATACAAAAATTAGCTGGGTGTGGTGGCAGGTGCCTGTAATCCCAGCTACTCAGGAGGCTGAGATAGGAGAATAGCTTGAACCAGGGAGGTGGAGGTTGCAGTGAGCCGAGATCGTGCCGTTTCACTCCAGCTTGGGTGACGAGCGAAACTCCGTTTCAGAAAAAAAAAAAAAGAATATTCCTGTGTTCTAGCAATATAGAGCCCTGCTTAAAGATGATGGACTTTCTTTACAATATGTTATATATGGGATACTAAATTACAGATTTGCTAATTTTATTTCTTTGTAGACTACAGACTGTTAGTTCTTATTCTAGCTTTAGTTGAACTTAATAAACTTGGGCTGTATTATAGTCCTAAAGTAAGCAGAAAATATAACTTAATTACTTGATAATTTAAAATATATAAAACCTAAATTTAAATAAAATATATAAAATCTAAATTTTCTAGTTAATGCTTAAATACTTTTTCTAGGAGGAATTCATGGATGCTATTTGTGATGGTGTAGGCTTAGGAATGAAGATTTTATTAGATTCTGGACTTGAAAAAGCAAAAGAACTTCAGCATGAACTCTTAAGGCAGTGTACAAAAAATGAGGTAAGATGAATAAAAGAATATTCCGTATAGTACTAAATAATATGTAAAGTCGATTTTTTTCAATCAACAAATTAGATTTCTGCAAATTCATGTTTTAATTTGTTTTATTTTTCACTGAAGAGGCTGACATCGTGATCTTATGGTGATATTTTCCCAAGTTATTCTTAATTCACTGCAGCCTCTATTGTTAATACTTTCCTTGATCCTATTGCAGCTATTTTCAAGAATTCAGTCTGTAAACTCCTAAGCAGAGAGTGGAGTGTGGTAGTGACACCTAGTGTTCGCTTTCTGGTTGTCATTTTCTTCCTTAGCTTTGTTTAGGCCTCGCCTCTTCTAAGAATGGAAACTTTGGGAAGGCCGAGGCGGGCGGATCACGAGGTCAGGAGATCGAGACCATCCTGGCTAACCCGGTGAAACCCCGTCTCTACTAAAAATACAAAAAAAAAAAACTAGCCGGGCGAGGTGGCGGGCGCCTGTAGTCCCAGCTGCTCGAGAGGCTGAGGCAGGAGAATGGCGTAAACCCGGGAGGCGGAGCTTGCAGTGAGCTGAGATCCGGCCACTGCACTCCATCCTGGGCGACAGAGCGAGACTTCGTCTCAAAAAAAAAAAAAAAAAAAAAAAAGAATGGAAACTATTAGTAACATTTATTGATTCACTATATTGAACTAAATATTTTTCTGGGGCATTCACATAAGATATTTCATATCAAGATACAGAACCAATAAGCATTTCAGTGATTTTCTAAAATATGTGTCCTCCCATCCTCCAGCTAACTAACATTACTTAGTACCTTAGGAAAGATCTGGGTTTTAATATTAGAAGACACGTATTTGAAACCTGGTTCTATCACTTTCCACTTACCATTTAGCAAGTCACTTAATGCTCTGACCCTATTTCTTTACCTGTCACATGTAATCATACCTACTTCACAGGCTGTAAACTATTTATTGATTAATTTCCTCTGACAGTTACTGGACTAGGTGCTTTACATGTAACAGTAGTAAATCTTAGCCATTTCTTTAATGGATTTGTACTTTGTCAGTAAGAAAAAGCCCTATGAATATCATATTTCATATTCATGTCACTTTTCAAGGTGGGAATTTATATTCTTCATTTCATTGAATTGGAGTACTTTGCCTAATTACACAACTATTAAGCCCTGAGCCAGGATTTTATATTCTGCCTGACTCCAAAACTCAACATGTTACGTAAATAAGTTTTTAAAACTATTGTTCATGGATTAATTTTCTTTATTGACAATTATTGTTAGTGAAGTGGGGATTAGGAAGATAAAAATTCAGATTCTTATGAGACTGAATTTCAGAGACTTGTCTGTTTTAGAGTCTTGTCACAACATGTTAAAAGCATCCCTGGCCAGGCATGGTGGCTCATGCCTGTAATCCCAGCACTTTGGACAGCCAAGGCAGGAAGATAGCTTGAGCCCAGAGTGTGAAACCAGCCTGGGAATCAGCGAGACCTCGTCTCTACAAAAAATACAGAAATTAGCCGG